CAGCAGTTTTGCACCCCGTGGGGCAGCACCCCCCCCTCCTGGTGTGTCATCTTCCCCCCCCCATCATCGTGCTGCTGGGACGCAGAGCAGCGTGCATGGATGGGGTGTGTGTGTGTGCGTGTGTGTTTGTGGCACGTGTGGAGCTGTGCAAAAGGGGGATGCACGGAGCTGGGCGTGCATGGATCCGTGTGCGTGTGCAAATTTGTGCAAGCATTCGCGTGCACACCCTCACACCCAACCCAACTCCGCTGCTTGCAGCTCTGCTGACATCTCCCGGCTGCAGGGGGAAGGGCGCTGCACACACGTGTGCAAACACACACACAAACTGACCCCCCCCTCCCAAAAAAAACCCCTCCCCAGCCCCACAACCCCCCTTTGCGTGCTAAAATGGGGCCAAAGATGCATTTTCGGGGATTGAGGCGTCGGTGGGAGAGGGGACGAAGTGACACGGGGACACGAACGGGGGGCAGGAGGGACACGGGTGGCACCGTGCCCACCCCCCACGCTGCCCCAGTTCCGTGGGTTTGGGGACGCGGGAGCTGCTTTTCGATTCTTTCGCTTTAGGAAAAGGCACAAAAGTGCCACAAAGGGGTTGAGCCGAGGATGGGGGGATATGGGGACGGGGGTGGGGGGATGGGGGAAAAGGGGGACGTGGGGAAATGGGGATAAAGGGGTGTGGGGGCACAGGGATTTGGGAACACGGGGACATGAGGACCCCCGGGTGCCCCCCCAGCGCGGGGCAGGAGGACAGAGGGGATGCAGAGATGCAGCACAGACCCCCCTGTCCCCACATCCCCCCATAGCAGCCCCAGCAGCACCACTGAGGGTCATTAATTGCGGGCTAATTACAGGTTGGGGTCCTCAGGGGGGTCATTGCTATTTGGGGAGGGGGGGGNGGGGGGGGGCACAGAGATGGAGGCAGAGCCCAACCCACTGGGGTCGGGTGGGGAACTGAGGCAGGGTCTGCGCATGCGCGGTGCTCTCTACCGCCCCCTGGTGGACGGACGGCACCGCTGCAGCGCCCGGAGGACCTCGGACCATAGAGAGGGCAGTGCAGAGCGGCTCCGGCGGGAGGAGCTCCAACCGTCCTCGAGGACTTGTGGACGCGTGTGCACGCGCATAGTGCAAGGCTGTGTGTGCGTGGTGCAGTGCTAAGCGTGCATGATGCTATGCTAAGTGTGCACGGTGCAAGGCTGTGTGTGCACGGTGCAATACTAAGTGTGCACAGTGCAATGCTAAGTGTGCACAGTGCAAGGCCGTGTGTGCACAGAGCAATGCTAAGTGTGCAAGGTGCAAGGCCGTGTGTGCATAATGCAATGCTAAGTGTGCACAGTGCAAGGCTGTGTGTGCATAATGCAATGCTAAGTGTGCATAATGCAATGCTAAGTGTGCACCGTGCAAGGCTGTGTGTGCACAGTGCAAGGTTGTGTGTGCATAATGCAATGCTAAGTGTGCACAGTGCAAGGCTGTGTGTGCACAGTGCAAGGTTGTGTGTGCACAGTGCAAGGCTGTGTGTGCACAGAGCAATGCCTGGCGTGCACAGTGCACAACTTGTGCACACCACCTCGTGCTCGCTGGGACACAGATGCCAGCACAGCCGCACCCTTGCACTCTATGCTGACACACACACGTGCAAGCACACCAATGCACCACCCGGCTGTGCCCCTTCCCAGCACCAGCACTCCCAGTGCCCCCAGCACCAGGCAGAAGCAGGAGGTGGCTGCAATGGGGTTTATTGTTGGGGTCGGGGGGCAGCGTGAGGGGGGCTGAGGGGGCTGCAGATGATGCACTGCAGCACTGCTGGGCCCCACGGTCAGCACTGCACCCAGTGCTCAGCACCCAGCAGCACCCATGGGCTCCTCACACAGCGCCCGGCTGCTGGACCGCCGGCCGTACCTGCAATGGGGAGCACAATGCAAGGGAGCTGTGCATTGCAAGGAGGAAGGCATTGCAACAAGGAAGGCATTGCAAGGAGGAGAGCACTGCAACAAGGAAAGCCTTGCAAGGAGGAAGGCGTTGCAACAAGGAAGGCGTTGCAACAAGGAAAGCGTTGCAACAAGGAAAGCATTGCAACAAGGAAGGCGTTGCAACAAGGAAAGCGTTGCAACAAGGAAGGCATTGCAACAAGGAAGGTGTTGCAACAAGGAAAGCATTGCAACAAGGAAAGAATTGCAGCAAGGAAGGCGTTGCAACAAGAAAGCTTTGCAACAAGGAAGTGCAATCAGGAGCTTGCAAGAGTGGGAAAGCTCTTTGCAGCAGGGAGCGTGTTGCATTGCAGCAGGAGTTGCGTTGCAGCAGGGACGGTGCCACAGCGGCTGGATGGGTTGCAGTGAGGGGGAGTGGGCTGCAGCACGAAATGGGCTGGCGTTGCAAAAGTGGGGCGGCTGCAAGAGGAAAGCACATTGCAACAGGAGGCGCGTTACAACAGGGCGGCGTGCTGCAACGAGGAAGGCGTTGCAGCAAGGATCTGAGTGCAGTGGCCAAGCAGGTCGCAACAGTAGAGAGCATTGCAGGAGGGGGAGCATCGCAGCGAGTGCAAGCAGGCGAGTGGGTCGCAAGGAGGAGAGGATTGCAGTGGGGAGTGCATTGCGAGGGGGAGCAGTTTGCTTTGGGTGCGTTGCGATGGAAGGGGGGGGGGGTTGCAAAAAGGGACGCGTTGCAACGGGGAGCGCATTGCAACCCTGCTGCTCACCGGTGCCGTGTGACCACGTTGAGGTACTGCTGCAGGTCGTTGTAGAAGCGGATGAGGTCCTCCACAGGAGCATCATCCCCGGGGTAGGTGGGCTGCGAGGGGCCGGCGGTGGTGGGGGGCACAGCAAACAGCAGCAGGCTGCAGGCCAGCAGCAGCAGCGAGGCCCAGCGGGGCGGCATGGCTGCGGCGCAGCAGTGCGGTGTCAGCTCGCCCCTTGCACACGCGTGTGTGCACGCACAACCTGCTGAGCAGCCCACAAACGGCCCCAGTTCTGCCCCGTGGCACCGCTTCCTCACCTGCTTCCTTAGGACGTGGCACGGGGACACGATGGCAGCACTGGTGGCAGCTCCTGATCGAGGGTGGCAGAGCTGCAGCACTGAGCTGCCCTTATATCCCCCCGCCTGGGTTCTGGCCACTGCTGATGTCACCCCGTTGCCAGGAAGGATGGGGGGGACAGGGAGAAGGGATGGAGGGGGTTGGGGGGGGACAGGGACAGCTGGCCCCTCACAGCGCCCTGGTTAATGTTTGACTTTAGGGATGGGGGTACATGGGGGGGTGAGGGGGTGGCTGCTGTCCTCAGAGTGGTTCTGTCCTGGGATGGACAGCAGCATGGGGACGGATGGACAGAGGGTTCAGCCATGGGAGGTGTGGGGACAGATGGCAGTGGGACGGGGGGACACCAGAGGGGCAGGAGGTGAATGGCTGCAGGCAGCGTGGGGGGCAGCAGCTGAAACCCCCCCCTGGTGGCTGTGAGTTGAGACGTGGCCATCGCCATGGCCAGGCTGGGAGCTCAGAGGGGTTTGGGGTGGGGGGCTCAGAGGAGCTGGGGACCCCCTGTCCAGCCCAGACACAGCCCAGACAGCCCCCAATGGCCACAGCCCCCCCAGGGACCCCACAACCCAACACAGGACCCCCTGCACACGTGGTGCAGCCAACACATGGTGCACCCCTGCACCCCCACACCATCACCCAGCACCCCCCTGCATCGGCCCACACCACCGCCCCCCACCCAGCGCCCCCCCGTGTCCCCAGGCAG